TTTTGTTTTCTTTCATTTGGACGTTTCTTGAATCTATCAAAAGCATTAACATCAACTATACTGGCTTGGTATCCATTCATTTATTTCAACTGTAAAAGTGAAGTCCCTCCAACCAAGATGGCTGCTTTAACTCGTTTGCGGTCACACAAAGTAGGTGTATAATCTCCACCCAGTTACAACATAAAAGCTTGTTTGGAGAGAACAAACAGACGACAAGCAAAGTTCTGAGTCATTTTTCGAACAGTTTTCTTGGGCCATAAGATTTTCAAGATTTATTTCTTACCACTTTTGGGAAGTACAACAAGACGACAGGTACAATCAGCATCCCACAGGAGGTCAGTCCAAAAAGGGCATTATTGTGGAAGGTGGATAAATTTTCTGAACGGAAAAGAAAACATATATCAAATTCAACTTGTGGAGAGTTTTTGAAGAGAAATTTGTCAAAAGTAAACATAGTTATACAAAGGTGTGTTGTCCTGGAAACGGTCAAATTGGAGGCTGCGGATTATACGGCAAACTTAGATCTCCAAACCAACTTCAAGTAGAAAATTGGTCTTTCATTGTTAAGTACGGTATTACAGTCCGTTCTCCATCGCACAATCTTTCCTCCACTGTAAAAATTAGTGTTCTTGAGATCAGAATTTGTTGCATGCCATTAGAATGTGATAACTACCTTGTGTACGGAGTCTGGTTTAACAAAGAAATGACCCTTTTGGTTTTTATGAACAATACTGCCCTCACCGGATCATGCACAGAGACAATAGTTTGTTCCTTTCAGAATCCTACGCAGGAACTCAGTAAGAAGACTATACAAAATAAATTGATTTCATGGGGGAAAATCTTTTAACCATGTACTGCCGGGGAGCCCGGTTTCGGGCACATAGGCTTTACACACGAAACCTGGGAGCCCAAAATCGGACAAAAGAGCTGGGTCTTGTAACAAAAGACCGTACTCAGAACAAAAGACCGAGCTGCTGGGAAATGCCAACATTTTTCAGCTATCAATAGTGGAGGAAATCCGTCAGTTTTTTGAAAGATTATACCCACTGCTTGTGGCATTCAGCGCGAGGGGATTACCACAACAGGGGACAAAAGCGCTCCAGCAATCCAGTAATGAGCAATACAATACCTGCTGCATGCTAATCTGGTCCGCATTTGAAAAGACGCCATCAGTACACTGGGCCATCCAGACCATTAATACACTCTGGAAATTGGGTACAAAAAATCGGAATTAGTTACAAGACAACCCCTCCCAATAATAGAAAAGGATTAGGCCTAGGTAAAAAATGAAATAAACTAGGCCTTCTCCATGTTCACAAAGCAAAATATGCAGTCATGGTATTTAGTGTCAACACACACAACTAACGTCAACAAAGCATCAACAACTTGAAAATACCCTCAACAGATTTCAAAGTGCTTTTATCATATTCTAGAGACTCAAGCACTTGCCACTGTGCAAGAGAAACACTCGAATTTGCTTCCTGATTCTTGCAGGAAAACAAAATTTTTTCACAATGTACTCGTATGGGGGTTACCATCTTTCTTTCCTCTGCCGTCCACACGAAAATGAGATGGCGGCCGGTCCGATTGCACAAACAGGCCTGACTTTGTCACTCAAATTTCAACACTCAAATATCATTTCAGATAGATATGATACATTGAATTTGATATGTAGGATCCTAATTAACATTATAAATAAAAGATCTTTGCATAAATATGCTTGAATAACTTGTTGACACTTTATTGATGCTCGTTGACACTAAATAGCACGACCCAAAATAAGTACTCTACAAGCTCTATGATACACAAAACTGACTCTACAAAAATGGCCTAAATTATGAAGGAATGGTGGATTTTCTGAGTCTCTGAATCATGTCAATATGGCTAAATATCCAGACTAACCCAAATATGTCTCTCATTTTTCTTATTTCACAATCAGATTTAAACTGAAAGGAGGATAACGTTACACTCGTCATACAGTGTCAGACAGTGTCAGACAGTGTCAGACAGTATCAGACAGTGTCATACAGTGTCACACAGTGTCATAGTGTCACACAGTGTCATACAGTGTCAGACAGTGTCATACAGTGTCAGACAGTATCATACAGTGTCATACAGTGTCACACAGTGTCATACAGTGTCACACAGTGTCATACAGTGTCAGACAGTGTCATACATGTCGGCATGGTCGGGTTTGGGACTAAATGCAGCATTTCTACCAACAATGTCTACACTTTACACCAACTACAACTAGTTGTACGAACATGTCTAACATTCATGATGTAGTCCCATGATGTAGGCGCAGGTCATTACCTCGATTACCACTGTTAGTACAAATATTTTCAACATGTTCAAGCAAGGAAAGTTCTAGAATCTGGAGACAAAGTTGATGAACATTAACATGTCAATGCATGCGTTACACCCCAACTAGTACGCCCCCAGGACAGTCCCACTACTAGTAGTACTGCAGTGAACACTGTCGTGCTGCTGCTGGGCGCTTTTATGGGCTGGCCCAACTATTGCTGACCAATTTCTGTAGAAAATTTCTCAACCTTATCCAAGATTATACATCTCACCCTTGACGAAATTCATCTAAAATATGTGACATTACATTGTGAACAATATGACTTGCACATGCACACTCGACCTCTTGTCAGCCCCAATTGGGACCGATGCTGTAGTTGGGGCATAACACAACCAGTAGAGGTGCGGTTCCTGTTTTCAGATCCTTACAAGTCATGCCGTTGTTAGCCATCAAATCAGCACCATACTAATACTTTTAACCTCGTTCATAAAGACAGTAAAAGAATAAATATGATTTTAAAATAATACAATCATATACAAACATACATTAAAATAAAAATATCTATACCTATTAAAAAGTTTTTAAGGCAAAACTGTGTAAACCAAATTACGAAAAATTGTACAATTTTAGATATCTTTAATCTCACGTTGTGATGTGACATTATGGCGACCCCCATGTGTAATTTCAACACTCGTCCACATGGTGCTGATAAAAACAACTTTCACCAATGATCTTATTGCCAACAGTCCTACCAGTTGAAGCGGTCATTAGGAAACTGAAATTATGAATGCTCTGGAGGTATTCAGAACTTTTGAAAAAGCTGCCGAGTTGGCAAAAGAACCGCACAGCGGGTGCACGTTAGCCAGTGCGCAGCGTCATATCGCGCTATCCCCGCGGTACATCGGCCGGTTGCGGACGGGGGTTGGGGAGATCTTAGACGCCGAACTTGGCCGCTTCTCAGAAAGGTGCATTTCGTTTAGAAGTCATTACATATGATCGCTGCTGAGAATCCTTTAACATGTTGAATATAGATGGATTCTGCGACTGTCTATCATGATTTATCATGTTTATGTAGCAAGAAATATCTAGGGACCTGCATCTCTTTACAATAAACCATCGGGAGTTTTCTAATTAAATTTGTTTTCATCTTGACAAAAATTCAATTTGAGCTGGTTCTTACAACATGTATGTGTTGTTTTTCTCTTTTTGTCAGGTTTATTGATATCATGGGTAAGCCTATAACTCATAATTCCTAGAACTACCCATGCCATGCTACCGGACTTGTTCCATCTCATTTAGCTCGAAGAGATTCAATAAAGTAACCCATAACTGGAGTAGTCTTTTCCTTTCTTCAGGACAGTATGGACCATAATTCTGAATCTTGTTCTCGTCTCCTTTTTATTGTGTAGTTTGCAAGGGGTGTTGCTAGCCTACGGTAATCTGAAGTTGCTTCAGTCTTCAGGAGTCATAGTGGACGACAGCCCCTTCATTCACTTTGACGTGAAGTTTGACGCCGTTGTGTTCAACCCGAAGATTGGCCGCTTGCTCAAGGTGTGTTTGTCAGGGTCCCCTACATTCTGTCCCAAAAACACTTCAGTGTTTACTTAACCAAGGAAGGACAAGATAGCTGTCAGATTTTGATGGCATTGGAATTGACTGGCTGTGGCTAGTATTAGTGCAGGTGATTATGGGGAATACCTATAGCCACTAGCCAGTTATCTCCATTATAGGCATGTGCATTTTGACTCTGGCTCAGATGTAACTTAGGCTTCATTTGCGTCTGAAAGAAACCATGAAAGTTGTGCTCTGTAAAGATATTTTAACCCTCTTGACAAAATTGTGTTTCATGTTTTCATTTGTTTTTTGGATGGCTGTCTTGAATATTCTTTCCTTCCATTTTATGTGTAGTTAGAACCTCAGCAAGAAATTTCCCTCAAGTCGGTAAATTATTGTCTTATCATGGATTGATTAATGTTAATCATAATTAAATGTTTATGTTGTCCCATTTCAGTGTGTTGTGAATGAGCAGGCCGCAGATCACGTAGGCTGCCTGGCTCACGACTGGTTCAATGTTTCCCTGCTTGCCAGCCGGAGAGAACTCAGTGACCAGAAGCTAGAGCCAGGCTATGTCATCCTAGTCCAGGTAGAGCGCCTGCGAGCTCTGAATGGGATGCTGGCTGTAGAAGGCAGGGCACCAGATGATGGGTGAGTTCTGACGCCCCAGGGCCATTTCTCTAGCATAGGGTCTTGACCTTTTTTAAACCATTCAGGTTCAACCATTCTGTTCTACAGGGGACAAAAACACCATGAACCCCTCAGCATTTTACACCCCCTCAGACACTTATGACTTAGAAGACAACTGTTTTCACCCTTTGTGTTAATTAAATTTTGGCCCCTTTTCTCAGGTCTGACTTGATTGTGGAAGCTCAAAGTCTTCAAAGTCAGGAGACAGACAGTGAGTCAAATGTAGACTCCATCCTCCAGCCACCACTCTCAGATGCCCTGGATAGCACTGGAACATCAACCATAACTCCTGAAAAAGAGGCTAGGAGCAAAAAGAAAAAGAAGAAACACTCAAAGGTGGAAAAGGAAGATGTAGACTTCTTGGAGACGTCAGTATCATACACTCCAGATGCCAGTGGTGTGTCGGCAGTAACTCCTGAGACAGAGCCTAGGAGTAGAAAGAAGAAACATGTAAAGGTGAAACAGGAATCAGAGGTGGACGCCCTGCAGCGGTCAAAGTCAGACCCTCTAGATTATTCTGAGACAGCAAGCATGACTCCTGGAGAGGAGGCTAGAAATGAAAAGAAAAAGAAGAGGAAACATGTTGCTTTGAAACAAGAAACTGATCCTGGCCCATCGACAGAGACGGCTGATACACAGACTAGTGGTGTGAAGAAGAAAAAGAAACATAAAGTGAAGCAAGAATTGCAAGTAGACTCCTTGAAGTCGCCATTGTCTCTGGATAATCTGCGTTGTGAACAACAGACTGGAGGAGAGACAACCAACTGTAAGAAGCCCAAGCGAACAGAGGTCACTGAGGAAGTTTGTGGCTTAAGCACTCCAGCTGGAGAAGAGGTTAGTCCTGGGAAAAAGAGAGAGAAAAAGAAGCATGTGAAAAATGAAGCAGATTCTCCGGACTCGGAATTGACAACAAGGGACTCTGGAAGTCACTTTCTAGAAGTAACGACTGATAAGAAGACTAGTTCAACAAAGAAAAAGAAAGGCAAAGAAATTGGGACAGATGTAGCCTCTCACCAGCCACCATGTATAGCCAATGGTCCAGTCGCAGGAGACCTGATCAAGGATGAAGATGTAGTCTCCAATCTCCAGCCGCTTGTCAATGAACAGGTTTCTCTAGACGAAAAGTTCACAAAGTTAAAGAAAAGAAAGCACAGAGATAAGGAAAATCACACAGCACTAGACTCCTGCCTCCAGCCGCTGTCATCAGACATTTCATCAGTGACTGAACAAGCGGCATTCAAGAAAGTGAAAAAGCACAAGAAAAAAATTAAGCAAGAAAACGATGACTACTATGCATGTAGTCAGGACACTCGTTTTGTTAAAAAAGAGCCTGGTATAGAGTCTAATGATGTCAATGCAAATGCAGTGACTGCAGAGGCAGATACCGAGGTCGAAGTTCAGAGATCTCATAAAAAGCACAAAGGAAGGGGGCGGAGCCTAACGATTATTTGTCTGGTAAAAAGAAAAAGTGCAAAAAGGGGATTTCAGACTGATATTCAGCTGAAATTGTTTGCTGTTCCTCTCATTGTGATGGAATTGGTCACACGCCTTTGGGTACATGTGTAACAAATATAATTTGTCTTAATAGCAGTAAACAGGCCTTTGTCGGACTCTTTCATAGGTTTTTTCTCAACAGCTGTGTCTGAAGTTATCTACAGTATCTTCATTCTTAGGAACACCGTACAAGGCCGTTAAAGAACAGTTGACATTCTCAAGATATTCGTCTCATTTCCGAATCCACACTGAAGTGAATTTTAGCTACCTTAACACCGGTACTTTCCCCCCAACATTTTACACCAAATTTGTCAGCTTTCACAAGTTAGAGTCTTTTGGCGTTAGCTGGGAGCTTTGGTTACCTCCTACTCAATTTATGTAAATGCCAATATCAACCATATGGTAATTACTTAATTAAATATTCGTAGCTTGATTATTTGTTTCATTACTGAATTTTCTTTTTAAAAGCATCATATGAATTACAAAAGAGTAAGATGTACATTGTATTGGTAAGTATTTTTTTCATCATAAATGCTTGGTTTAAGATTTACTGTGAACTATACTTGCAGACAATGCAAAAGGGATAATTTAATAAAATGAAATTAAATTGGAAGGGCAGGATTTCATCTTTCTGAAATATGTGAGGCAGGCTGAATTGAGTGTTATTGTAGTTAACACATTACATTATGAGAATGTCCTCTTTGTGGGACTCTACATTTAGAGTTAGATTTTTTACCGTCGCATCGATATTGATGGAGGTCACCTGAATACAAGGACACAGATCCCATAAATTAGAGAATGACGTACGCGTACAGTATACATGTACTGAAAGCTTTGGCCGGCTTTGGCACGAATAAATTTGCTTTCAAAACTATCTTATGAGCCAGCCTACCCCTGGCAGGTTGTGATTTAAAAGCAGATTTGCGCCGTGGACCGTTACATTCCTTGGCCTACAAACATTCTAAATACAATTTTTTGTTCATTGTGAAGGATCATGTCACACCAGTTGATGCAGGCGTTGCAAACAATCTGCCCCGAGCTTAAGTGCACCCCCAATCGGCAAAAGAAAGACGGGTGGTTACCAGGGGGTTTCTTGGACGCATTCTGCATGTACACAAAGACAATACAAGCCAGAACAAGTTAGTTATGTGTACTCGTACTTGGCGTGTTCCACGTCAAACGTGCATATGCATGAGGCGCGCCTATGCGGTGAGTACCAAAAAAAACTTTCCTTTGTTCCGCTCGGAGCAGATAGCGAGTACAGAAATGCTCAGTTTAAATGTCTTTTCGTGGAGGTAGAGAAGTGGCAGCATTGTTTTTTTTATTGTCTGAGAGCAATAATGGGATCTGTATCCTTTATTCAAATGACCACTGCTTCATCAATGTATTTGGTGTGACTTTAACAAGTGAGATGTGAAAGTGTGCCTGAGGAAATGCCAGTTCAATCCCATTTTTGCAGAGAACTGATTGCAGGGTCCCAGGAAAAAAAAGGGATACTTTCTTTTGTAGTACGTGTTCATTTTGGTGGGACATTACAACACTTAATGTAATCTCTCCCTTTTTACTACTAAGTTCCTCTCTGGTGACAGATTGTCACACGATGTGAAAACGCAAGTACAGAAATAATGCACTTGACAGTTTACAGGAGAAACCGTACAAATCAGACATAGGATGCAAGAACTGGGGGAGAAACTTGACCATGGTTGTGTGGGAAATTTACTCAATGCTTTTGAAACATATATGCATAACTTGTTACGGATGCATGTCATGAATATTGAAATAAGAAATCTTGGCACTTGCATCATTGCATGTGACCTGAACTTATGCATATGCATATCTTTACATACATGTAATTATGCAGCATGTACATATTTAGGACTGACATGTGCAAGACAAATTCGATTCAAGAAAGTCAATTAATTCAGAGAAACAAAACACACCTGTTTATTTAAAAGGACCATGTTTATTTCATAAGAAAATCTGGTTACATCACAAGGAATTCCTTTGGATATTGCAAGAGATGGAGTACAACTTAAAGACAATAGAAAGAATGTGGAAAATGTGTCACAAATGAAAGCTATTAGAGCGTTCCAAAATTGGTTTGACCTGGAATGATCTATTTGGAAAATGGGGGTTTTTCTGGAAGGGACAAACATGCAGTGCTGAAGTGAACTTCAACCAGGTTTGAGCAGTTGTGATAGACTGCTCCATTTGGAGATAACGGGTGTTTCAAAATTACAAGTAGCGAACATAGTTCTTGCTTTATTAAACTGTTTCATTTCTTAACGTTAAAAACAGTGCGACCCCCCCTCCAAACTGTTGGGATTTCCCAACTGGGCGACTGAACCATTATCACATAGGGGTCACCAGTGGTTAGTGGCACAACAAATTTGAGCAATTACGACTCTGAAATCAAATGTGAGATGAAAATGTTGGTTCCCAACTGAAAAATTAAGCATCATAAAAGCGCACTCCAAGCCAAACTTTCTAGCACTTCTTTCTGAATTCAAATTTGTCTTGCATGTTCAAACTCGCTCAAAAATAGCCCAATCCCCACCCCCAAGATTCTTTGTGTGTGTGAAGTTTATGCAGTCAAACCTCATGAATAAGAGGTCCATCGGACTTTGCTGGTTACTTTCAATAACATGAACCTTGACTTAACAGAACAACTGATTTGAACTACAAATTTCTTGCTGTAAGCAGACTGTTGTACTGACAGTGATCTGTGCTCGTACAAGTTTGAAAACAAGAGGCATTCCTGGAAACAAGAGTTGAAATACTTTGGAATTCTCCCTTAAGCTCCAACTCCGCTTCTTTCAAGCCAAAGTAAAGGGAAAAAGTCTGTGGAAATATAACAACGTACACGATATCTCAAGATTTCGGTCGTCAAGTTGGCATGCCCCTTTAAATGCACTGTGGTACAGAATTTCCATCCACAGACAGTTACACAAAACAACATTGACTGATTTGCACCTATTTGTCAGTTGGAAGAGTGCGAGTTGTCTTGGGGCTGTTTCGGTCGAACATCTACAGTTTGCAAGTGCCCCCCCCCCTTTTGGGGGGAGGGGCTGTGTTTTCATGGTGTGGACAAACTCCATGTACGTTCAATTTCCTCATTGATGAGGGCGCTATTTGTCAATTCCAGGCAGTGTAAAGTGTCCAGATTTAGAACCCACGGTACGACAGCAGCGGTGTGGGTCACACGTACGCGTTAAGTACTGCATCAACCAACAGGGTGTTTTGATGGCCAAAATATCTGCGTCTTTTCAGGTGAAAGATTGCGCAGGTGTGTGGTGCCGTTTCGGTGAAGACGTCTGAGGCATTATTTTGGGGTCAATAAGAATCCATTCAATTAACATGCAACCGCTTCTTAGAAATACAACTCTCCCAAACTGGCATGCCTTTTGCTGTTAGAAAGCTTGCAAGAGAAAACAAAGTTTACATACAAAACAAACAAAACTGTAACTCTTGAATTTCAAAAACCTTACCACGCACATCTGTCACATTCTTTGTTTGTTTGTAGTGTTCTGTGAGATTTCAGTGGAAATGGGACTACACAGGCCGACACAGTTATTTTGCCAGGAGCTGGACTCACGATTTTGTCCAGTTTGCAAGAAACAGACTTACAAGAGAGTGACGTGCGACTTCGGCATGCAGTATTTTAGGTTGGCATGGAAACCAAGCGGGAATGACCTTTGATGAACCTAGGATCCATTTTTAAAAAGTAAATGAAAACAAGAGTTTTTTTAGGAGCTATTCAGGAGTTTTCACTAAAACCATCCAGGTAACTTGAAGCTTGGGTACAAACACAAACAAAGGTGCACGACAACCTACAAATTTCAACCCGGTACCTAAACAAATATGCACAATTAAAAAACCCAGAACTTACGAATGGTCAAAAATCATTCTCTTGACAAGTTTATCCTGCCGTTTACTGTGTGGAACCGAGGTTCAGTGCATGTTACTCATGCCTATGTATACACTGTACAAACGCAATGCAATCATCAATACCACCACTTGCCGCCCCGACTTCGACCCCGCCCACGGCCACTCCCACCTCGCCACTGGTTCTGACGCGCCCCTCTACCACCTATCAAAAACAAAAAATTTCAACATAAAATGCGACATCAACCTGCACATCCGTCATTGTACATGCTACATACGCCTCTTGCAAGTTGAACTTGGATAAAATCTGGCACACTGAGTTCTTTAAATTCACGTGAAGATAACATTTTGATGTCTCCATACTAAAGACACTGTTGCTATACCTCGTGATCCAGGGCTAGCTTTTGCTTAGTTACATGCGAGACGCCTTGCAACAGTACACTGTTCTCTATTGAGAAGAAGGGTACAAAGGAACCAGTCCATTCCAGAGATGGTGGTCGCTATGCACTTGTTGGACAAGGTAGATTTGGTATGACTGACGTTACCTGGGGCTAATTTTATTAGAGTTGACATAGTCTGCTGTGCATTTGCTTCCATCCAATTTTAACGGACATTCAATTTTACAAGATCTGACCAAGGCCTTTTTTCGATCACTTGCCACGCACAAATTAATCGCTGATGACCTCAGTAGTTTCCTGTGTCTTTTATTGTATTAAATTTTACTAAACGTTACCCAGTCCTCTGTGCATTAAACGTCATGCCATGATCAATGTCAATAGACTTGAACCAGTCCTTTGTGTATAAATGTTACAATTTGGCTAGAGTTGAGCTAGTCTCCAGAGTACTCACTCACCGTATGTGTACCCGACGCCGTACTCCGGGTCGCTTGGCGCCATGCCGGCCTTGCTGCTATACTTCCCGGATGGGGGTTGATACATGACCCGGGGTGCGTGGGGTTTCCGCTGCCCACCCGCCGCTGCCGCCTTCTTTGGGGGCGAAGGGTCGCTGCTGAAGGTAATCGGGGTAATGTTGGTCCGCTTTTGTCTGTTGAGAAAACGAAAACCCACGATGAAACGAGAGGTTTTCAAGCACATTTTCAGTTCAATAGAAAAACGGCTACATCATTTTGGGAAAAAAACCCACTCTAAATTACGACAATTTCTAGGACAATTGTGGCAAACTCCTCATCTGAAATTTCTCCTAGCCATCGACGAGGTGTGGACGGTCACTCACCCAAGAGCGGCAGGCTCTAGACTTGTCCCGTGTTTCTGAACAGGACGCCATGAAAGGACCACAGTGCTTTTGTAGGATGGAGGATTTCTGAACAAATCCTGTAAGTCAAAAATGGAAAGAATTTTACCAGCAATATCCAACAAGCCGCAACAGCTCTGCAGCAAAACAAGTAGATAAACAACTATCAACAACAACAACAAACTAATTATTATTCATTTCTTATCATGTATATTCACCATATATCAAAAAACATTGAAATCCAATGTGGTCTTGTGAGCATTACAGATGATTACAAGATAAAAAAGTAATAAACACGAAGAACGTTTTACAGATAAATAATTAAAGACTGATTCTAATAAAGATGAGACGAGTAAAATTACAACAGAAGAAACGATAGTACAGTTACACTTAAAAATGGTAAATCCTCTAATCAAATTTGGATTGCATTTGATCATTCCATAAACAAACTGCATTTGGACAGACACTGTTCAAGGTTTCGGACAGATCTGCATGGATTGATCTGTAATGCTTTCCTGTTCTTACTGGCTGAAATGCATCATTTACCGGAGGGAATTCGTCTGAAATAAGTAAATTATGAAACAAACTATACAGGGAAACTAGGTGCTTATAAATAATAATGAAATTGACTGGAGTGGGATTTGAACCTGCGACCTCTGGAACACCGTACCAGTGCTCTACCAACTGAGCTATCCAGCCCTATGTTGGTGGCATCTTCCCAACTGTCAATATCTTTGTTCGGGGGGCGCTAGCCAGAAGCCATTTAACCTTAAACACCATGTAGCCAGGGATCACACCCCAACAACACGATACAACCAGGGAAATGGTGAACAGGGATCACTCAAGGAGGATACGGCTTTTTCAACATAAATCATGAAACAAACTAC